CACCAAGGTCTCGTATTGGAGAATATTTGTCTGATACCTAATGCTTGTCAAGGTAACCAGACTGTAACTATTCGGACATAACAAAAACAAACTTACCGACGATGTTTCTTTACGTAGAAGATGGCGATAATAATCAGGGAAATGATAAACAGTACAGATCCTGCTGCAATACTTGAATAAAGAGCTACTGGCTTTAAGCCGCCTTGTTCTTCATCACTGGATATACTCGGAATTTCTAGGGGAAAAAAATGAAGATCGCATAGAATCAGACTACGGAGCTTCTGGTGAAATGAAAGAGCGCGCAAACCTTTTAGACTTAGTGACATGTTAGAGTTGTCGGAAGGGACTGGTACCTCCCACGTCACTATTGCGTACGATTGACCAGTTATAAAGATATATGTTCTTCTGTTTGGTACCCTTGCAAATCGTCTTTGTTGTATCCGCACTCCACGATCCACTTTCGAGGCAGGATACGCTACTTTCGCCTACCAGTCGGTAACCAGGGGTATCGTTGCACGATAAAAAGCACTGGGTTTTATAATAAACACCAAAAACTGATCTGCACGAATTTGGAAAAACAGTTCCATGAGATGGAGGCTCAATGGCTTGGCACCTCACAACTTAAGATAAAAGAAATCATGTGATTAAGTTCCTGATTTTTAAGCAGCTATCAGGAATCCTCAATTTAAATCATGTCTTTGAAACCTCTCCTATTTACCTTTACAAATCTAAATATTTTCAGGATGCTTGAAAAGATAATGTTTGTTAGTCATGGGTTGTCACTTAACTGTGAAATGGCTAAGACTGTTTGAGTTGTGTAACCAATTCCTGCACTGGAAAAAAAAAAACTAAAGACAAAAGACTGGAGACTAAACGCAAGCTGACTCGCAAAGTAACACATACTTACTATTACATGTAGAGGTGTTTCCTGACCAGGAGCCGTCCTCTTTGCAAAAACGCTCTCGAGACCCGATTAACTGATATCCCCTGTCACAACTAAAATTAGCTTGGGAACCAAATGAAAAGCCACAGGAAAGGCCCAAACTTCCATGTGATGGTGGCTGAAGTGTAACGCAGGATTTCCCTGTGAAAATAAAGCCTTATTATGTTGAATTGACGCAATTTCAAGTGTTATAATACACTTGTATTCAGTATTATTGTATTTTCAAGAGAGAAACTATGGATCTACCTGGAAACAATTTTGCTTGCGATAGCTTAGAAGATAAGTATAACAAAACATACATAGACATTTATAGAAGAGTATACGAGCAATATACAAACACTTATCAAAAGCGATAGAAAACAAGCAACGTTTTTCAAAGGCATAGTTAATGTCACATATTTCGATGACATACTCGCAACTTTCACCACGAAGGTGCAGTTAGCTCTGTTTCCATCGGCGTCTGAAGCTGAATATATTATAAAATAGACTCCAATGCTCAACTGAGCTAACGGTCGAATGGAAGGGTAGTTAACAATCA